CAGCCTCCCAACGGCGCGGGATTACAGGCTGAGCCACCGGGCCCGGCTTGAGTTTTTATTTATTGTAGAGATGAGGTCTCGCCAAGTTGCCCGGCAGGGTCTCGAACCTGCAGGCTCAGGCAATCCACTCGCTTCGGCCTCCCAAAGTGCTGGGATTACAGGCTGAGCCACCGAGCCCAGCCTATCCAGTCCTCTTTTGATGGGCAGCACGGTTGGGTCCATGTTCTTGCTATTGTGAACAATGCGGCAATAAACATACGTGTGCAGGTGTCTTTTATAGAGTGATTTGAGTTCTTCTGGCTATATTCCCAGTAGGGGGATTGTGGGGTCATATGGAAGGTCGATTTTTAGAACTTTTAGGAATTGCCACACTGTTTTCCACAGAGGTTGTGCTAGTTTACATTCCTACCAACAGTGTAGAAGTGTTCCCTTTTCGCCACATCTTCTCCAGCATCTGATATTTTTTGAGTTATTGATGATGGCCATTCTGACTGGAGTTAGGTGGTATCTCAGTGTAGTTTTAATTTGCATCTCCTTGATGACTAGTGAGGTTGAACATTTCTTCATGTATCTGTTGGTCCCTCATATGTCTTCTTTTGAGAAGTGTCTATTCATATCTTTTGCCCACTTTGAAATGGAGCTGTTTGTTTTATTCTTGAATGTAGTCTATTTTTTATTTTTTAAATTGAAAAATTTTTTTTTTTTTTTGAGTTGGAGTCTCACTCAGTCGCCCAGACTGGAGTGCAGTAGCCGCTCCCGGCCACCGCAGCCTCGACCTGCTGGGCTCCAGCGATCCTTCCACCTCAGCCTTCCAAGTAGCTAGAACTACAGGAACACGCTAACACGCCCGGCTAATTTTTGATTTATTGTGGAGATGAGGTCTCGCCAAGTTGCCCAGGCGGGTCTTGAACCAGCGGGCTCAGGCAATCCACTCACCTCGGCCTCCCAAAGTGCTGGGATTACAGGCTGAGCCACCAAGCCCGGCCTATTTTTATTTTTTTTGAATTGGAGTCTCATTCTATTGCCCAGGCTGGAGTGCCATGGCACAGTCACACCACCCCATCGTCAACCTGCTGGGCTCCGGTGAGCCTTCCGCCTCAGCCTTCCAAGTAGCCGGAACTACAGGCACGTACTGCCCTGCCTGGCTAATTTTTGATTTATTGTAGGGATGAGGTCTTGCCAAATTGCCCAGGCTAGGCTCGAACCCGCAGGCTCAGGCAATCCACTTGCCTCAGCCTCCTAAATGCTGGGATTACAGGCTGAGCCACCGAGCTTGGCCTTTTTTTTTTTTTTTTTTTTTTAAATACACAGATATACATAAGATGTGTAGCAAATGGGAAGTTATCAAGAATTTTTAAGAAAAAAGAGAATATAGGGAAAGCTAACATTGAAATAGAACATTAGAAACTTTTTAATGGGAGGCTTTTTAAGATTTTATTTTATCCAGTCTTTTGATTTTTAAAAAAATAGTTTTATTAAGATATAATTGACACTCCATTTCTTCCCAGCTTTTGTGCTATTGTCACATATTATTACTTTAATAACATTGTTTTTATTTTTGTTTAAAGTCAATTATCTTAAAGATATTTAAATAATAAAAAGTCATATCTTTGCTGATGTAGTTATCATTAGCTGTGTTGTTGGATTTTAAATTTTTTTGTTCATATTTCTGTCTGGTGTTATTTTTCCTCCTGCCTGAAAGACTTCCTTTATTGACTGATTGATTTGGGCATTTATTTATAGAGTGATGAAGTCTCACTCTTTTGCCCTGGCTGGTCTCAAACTCTTGGCCTCAAGCAATCCTCTCACTTTAGCCTTCCAAAGTGCTGAGATGATAGATATGAGCCACTGCACATAGCTATTTATTTATTTAGAATTGAGTTCTCACTTTGTTGCCCAGGCTGGAGTGCAGTGGCACGATCACTTCTTACTGCAGCCTTGGCCTCCTGGGCTTAGATGATCTCTCTGCCTTTGCCTCCCAAGTAGCAGGGTACATACCACCATGCCTGACTAATTTTTAAATTTTGTCTCACTGTATTGCCCAGGCTGGTCTCAAACTCCCAGGCTTAAGCAGTTCTCTTCTGCCTCAGTCACTATAGCCTCAACCTACTGAGCTCAGATGATCCTTCTGCCTCAACCTTCCAAGTAGCTGGAACCACAGGCACGTGCCACCACACCTGGCTAATTTTTTGATTTATTGTAGAGACGTGGTCTCACCAAGTTGCCTAGGCTGGTCTCAAACCCCTGGGCTCAGGCAGTCCTCTCCCTCAGTCTCCCAAAGTGCTGACATTATATGTGTGAGCCACCGTGCCTGGTGATATACAAATTTTTTTTTTTTTTGAGTTGGAGTCTCACTCTGTTGCCCAGACTGGAGTGCAGTGGCCACTCCC